AGTTTTTTGTTATTCAGGGGCCACGTTTTACTTTGGAAGGTGACAATTGTTTCTTATGGTTTTATCTAATGAAAGTTACCGTTTCCTATAAAAAAATGTTCTCATGTTGCCTTGATTTGGACTCTTTGGGAAGAAAGGAATGCTAGAATTTTTCAAGAAACGGAAAGGAGCAGTCAGGAATTGAAAGACTGTGTGCTGAATAGGGCAATACCTTGGAAATCTTTAATCAATTCTCCTTTAATGACCTTTGGAAAAATTGGTCAGCAGTAGCGAGGTGTTCATCYCTAAAGGACAAATCAATTACAAGCTGGTCTCTTCCATCCGAAGGTTCACTGAAGTTGAACTTTGATGGAAGTAGCATGGGTAATCCAGGATTATCTGGAATGGTGGGTGCTTTGAGAAATGAGAAGGGAGAGATTTTGTTGCTCTACTCAGGTCCCTTAGGAATTGGGGACTCCATCAGGGCAGAACTATTAGTTGCTGTACAAGGGGTGCAATTTGCAAACCAGCTGGGGTTACAACACCTAACAATCGAGGGGGATTCCAAAGTGGTGGTGGATTGGTTGAAAAATCCTGAAGAGGCAATGTGGCGTTACAAGAATGAAATGAAGAAATTTAGTTGGTTGACAAGGAATATGTCGGTCACTGTACAGTGGGTGGGGAGATCAGCAAATACTTTGTCAGATGTGTTAGCCAAGCAAGGGGTAAATAGGGAAGAATTGTTTTGGGCTCAGTTGTGATTCTTGCTTTTCTTTCCTAGTTTACTTGTAAGATTTGAGGGGCTGCAGCTCGCGCCTCTCTCTGGGATGTTGTATGAACTCACTCTAAATCAGCTTCTGAATTAATAAATTTATTATAATTCATCAAAAAAAAGAATAAATTCAAATGGCTGAGTAGGGATATTGTGGTTCATTACAACTGGGTGAAGAGGACTGCTAATTCTTTTGTTGATGGGTTAGCAAAGCAAGGGGTGAATAGGGATTCGAAATTTTGTACTAATCTTTGACTTTTTTCCATTGTATTCTTTTCGTGGGGAGTTAAGTCTTTTTACCTCCCCTTTGTACCTTAAGCTTCACATAGTTTCATATCATTAATAAAGTTTCTTGTTATTGATTAAAAAAAATGAGAATTACTTCTAATATGGTCTGAAGTGTTAAACAGGACATTGTCATCTCCATCCCTCGTTCAAGTTAAACCTTGAGTGCAGATGCAGTAGCCATCAAGCTTCAGATCAACCACACCTCTATGTGGGAGGATTCCACTCCTACCATGACAGATTCATAAGGTGATGGCAGAGCAAAATGCCAAGACTAATTGCAAATAATTTGGGGATTGATTTGTTTTTTACTAACTAAACCCAATAGAGGTTTGATTTGGGTCTATTTTTTCAGTAGGGGGATTTGCAAGGAAGGCGTTCAGAGAACTGGAAGTGAAGAATTGTGAGAAAGTGATTTTCAAAGTGGCTGGGTCTAATTTGAGGTTTGTAGAAACTCAAGAAAGATTGAAAGCTTCTGGTGAATGGATTACTGACAAAGAGGGTGGAGAGACGTTGGAAAATGAGACCATTAAGAAGAATGCGATGGAGTTAGAGAGGATAAATGCATGTTCTAAGGTGGATTTAAAGGATACTGAGAAGGTGCCTAATGCTGTGAGGCATTTCTGAAGTCAGAAACACCATCGGCTTATTCAGGTTTTGAAAGTTTTTGCTAGGTTAAAAGCATAGTTTTCAAGGTGCCAAGGCGAGGCTGGGTGACAAGGGGCACCTAGTCGCCTAGGCAATGGATTTTTTTTATGTAGAAACATAGATCATAGGGTAGTTCCCTAGGTACCATAACCATATTTCCTTAATAATTATTCATAATGTTCATAAGAAAAGTATAGAGTTCATGTTAAAGTATAGAAAATCAACATATTCATGAGAAGAAAAAGAAGGAAAAGAAAATTTAAAAAGTATAGGGTTTGAACCCTTATTTTTGGTATAGGAAAATAAGAAAAGAAAAAATTTCAAGTTCTTATTATTGGTTCAATACAGCATTTAGCAATGTTTGTGTTGATTAAACCCTAACAATTAAGAAAATAATAAAAAGAAATTAGTATATAAACACACAAAATGAATATTTTAGTTTAATAATGTCTATTTTATAATTATAATATCAAAAAGTAAAGAATAAAGAAGTATTTTATAATATAAAGTACAAAACTGTTTGGCGATTAGGCGAGGCGAGCCTCAAAGGGTGCCTTGTTGCCTAGGCGTTGCCTTGACAACTATGGTTTAGAGGGGGGCTTTTTGGAGTTGGGTCCAACAAAAAGGTTAAGAAAATCAATGAAAAGTATTTAAAAGAAGCAAATAGATAGTGGCATAAGCCCTTGAAGTTGCTGAGTAATTGAATATTGTTTGGTTTTTGTTGGAGTTTTGCCTTTTTCTGGAGTTTCTATTGCTGGTGACTTGGGTCGGGTGAGATTGGTGTTTGGTGGCTTGTTAGAGGAATTAGGTTGAAGTCTAGTTGTTGATTGGTTGAGTAGGGGTGTTTTTTGGGTTTGGTTGGATGTTTTCCTCTCTTTATCCTAGTCGAGTGCTTTTTGGCGGAATTGAGTTTTCAGTGGTTTGAGGGGTTGTTGCTTTCTTCTATTGGGTGATTTTCTTGTCACCTTGTAATCTCTCTCTCTCTCTTTTTTTTTTCTTTTCATTAAAATTTTTATCTACTTTCAAAAAGTACTTTATACAAGGGCAAGGACATTCTTAACACATCATAAAA